TAAATAAAATGGCTGGGGTTGGATTATAACCTGTTTTTGATAGGATGATGAGGTCTGATCTGGTGTACTTGCTGGTTTAAAATTAGCAAAAAAAAAACCAAAGGATCATTGCAGGTGAAAGATCATACGAAAATATATACTATTAAGTCTTTGAATTACTGGATGCAAAAAAAAAGTCAAAGCATTTATAAGCTGAAAATAACAGCTTGTTTACTCACTGCCTCATCCCAAATTTTTTATTAAGGACAATGAATCCACCTTAATTGGATAGGAAACAATCAGATTTAGAAAGTGCATTCCATTGGCAGTGACTGCAATCCTCTCATCTGATTGAAAAGGACGGCAGGTCAAGACTCAAGAGCTAACATATGATTGAATTCAATAATTAATGGAGGATAGAGATATCACTACAAGAAATTTGACAATTAGCAAGAAAAATGTTATGTAATGTTGCAAAATGTCATTTTAAGAAAATTATTTGCAACAATATTTATGCACACTCACCGTTATTGCAAAAAGTAGTTTGCAAATTACAACATTTTATTTGACTTTTTATGTTATAAAAAATATTATGCCAATTGTTGAAGATGTTGCAAATAGTAATATCGTAAAAATATATATATTAGTAGTAATTTTGTTTATATTTTTACTTCAAAATGTAACTTTTACTATCTTATTGTTGCAAAACACTGCTATTTATGCTAAGAATTACTAATATACATCCGATGCTAAATTAATGTAATTAACATTCACATTTTAAAAAAATGGGAACCCCATGACTTAAATTTAACATAGAGAAATGATCATGCACATTGTTCTGCCTGGCAAAAACCCTTCATATTACTGGATTGATGGAGAGAGTACTTTGCATGAGACATTTGTAACAAGCTGCAGCATCATACATAAAGAAGGTAAAAAAATACATGACCGATGGATTTTGATCCGACCCGACCTTTTATGATCGATTTTTTTTTTTAAATCAGGTGTCGGGTCAGGTCAGATCGGGTGGCATGAAGAAAAAGTCAGGATCGGGTTTTAAGCAAACCCGACCCAACCCGATATATATAAATATTTTTTTAATTATTTTTTAATTTTATAATTATTTATATATATTTATATATATATATTTAATTTTATATTTATATTAAAAATAATATTTTATTAATTTGGGTCGGATCGGATATGATTTTATACAATATTGAGTCGGATAAGATTTGAGTATAAAAAATAATAAAAAATTATCGAGTCGGGTTCGAGTTTTGCATGTTTAAAGTTAGGTTCGGGACGAGCAAAAATTCACGCCAACCAACCCATTGCCATCCTTAATCGTACAATATGCCACTTGACTTGCAGGCCAAAAAATTTAAGTCCAATTGGACTAACAGCACCGGCTACAAGGTCATATCATGTTATCGTAATTAATATAACAATATGATACTTACAATATAATATAAAATCCAAAACAATAAAATAATATATATATTTCAATAATTAGAGTTTAATTTCTAACAATAGGTATTTTGGAGTCTTAAGTTATTAAGTTTTCTTGGTTCCTTTTCTAAGTGACAGCAACTATAATTAACCTTTAAAATGTTTGGAAGCAAAGTATGGCCAAACTTCAACGGTTTCCAAGTAACGTGCGGACCAACTTTCATTGAAATAGAATAGTGCCGTATATCATCAAAGATAAATTAAACTGAATGATCAATAGTTAGCTAGCACTTGCTTCATATGTACAAAAATGATCAGTTGCTTGGAAGGCAGATGAAATATCTTTGTAACAACCATATAACCAAACATAAAACCTTACAAATATATACGTACGCAAAAAATATATATTCACGTCGTCAGGTCTTTTCTCTCCCTTTTAGGTCATTGTTGGTTGATTATAACAACTGCTACTGTACGTTCACAGCAAAGTTAAAAGTTAAGAATAGGAGTAATAAATTGGATTAAATTTAATTTAATTTTTTAAATAATATATAATATTTTAAATTTTTAAAATTTGATTCAAATTCGAATCGATCTTCTTTTAAAATCGATTCGATTCAAATTGATTTTTATTATAACTGCTATATTATTATAAAAAAGTTTTTAATTTTAATATATTGAACATTTAATGTAAATATTAACCCTCTAATTAGATTAAAAAAAAATTTTGAAAATTTATTTATTAAAACCTAGAACTTAATTCTGTTTTTTATATAACCTCCTTAAGCTGTAATATTTAATAAATTTATAATTTATATCTCAAAATATATAATTTATTTTTTTAATTTTTAGATTGTAACTTAAAAAAAAAACTACTTTTTCATTAATGTTTTGTGTCCATAATTAATGTTTTTGTCCTTTTTAATAGAAAATTGACAATAAATTCTTTATAAGGAAAAGTTTTAATACAAATCTAATTAATTAAGGAAGATATATTTTAAGAAACGTAGAGGGAAATTGGAAAATGGAACATATAATGCATGCTAGTTCTATTTAAGTAATTTGTTGGAGGAGAAGTGAGGGTTTTTTTTTTTTTTTTAATAAAAAAAAAAGAAAAGAATTTTATGGGGAGAAAATCCATTTCCTAGAGTTAGGGAAAAAAAAAAGGTTGCAATCAATTAAGCATACAAAATTAGTTGTAAGTACATATTTAATCATGTTAATTGCCCACCGAATTTAATAAGTATAAATATATATTAAAATTTTTAATTAGTAATGAAATATAATTAAAAGAATGGTAATTAATTAAAAATAAGCCTAGAAACAAATAATTTTTAATTTAAAATTTCAATTCTCCAAACTTCAAAGTCCATAGGCTCATAGCCTCATACTTAGCCCTCCCAATTAAAAGTATAAATTGTACAAAACTACAAAGAATTTGATGATATTGTGCCCTTAGCTAGGGGTGTTAAATTAACCCCAAACCAAATACACTTTAAAATTTAGAAAAATAACAAATTTTATTTATTGCCAAACAACCCATGATTCAAAATTATGAGAAAATCACATTACATGTTAAAAGCATAAAATTTATTATTCATCAACAAAAAAAAAAAAGGAGGATTAAACTTTTGATTCAAATTCTTTATATATTATGAAACAAAAATGATGGACCCCTACTTACATTAAATGAGTAACATGGGAGGATCAAATTGGAGTAAAAGTTTTTAGACTTTTGAGAACATAACAAAGAAAGATAATTAAAACCCCATCTATTTATGACTCATATAAATAGTTTGAACAACTCATTATTTCAAAATATTATTATTATTATTATTATTATTATTATTATTATTATTATTATTACTAATAAATGCTCGTAAATTTTCAAATGTAAGTGAATGTCTTCTATGCACAAATAACCGAGTTTTAATTTATTTTCTTTTAAAATTAAAATTAAAAGAGATGACGGTGTTTATAGCCCACGATATGTGTGGTTTGATGGGTCTAGCAAACAAATAACAGGCCTACATCAATATCTAAACCTCAGACATCGATGCATGGATCGTGTTTCAGACAAGACGAGGCCCTAACCCGGTAAGTCCAGTAAAGTGAACAGTTAGGACCTGACCCATGACCCATGACCATGAGCTTTGGTTGGGTTTGGAACTTCATCCTAGCTGGCCTTGGAACTTTCCCTCAATTGAACCCTATGGACTTAAAAGGAAAAACAGAAAGCTTCCTTCGCTTGTCTTGCCCTGATGAATGGTGATTCAAGACAAATACCCAAGTTAGATGAGGGAGACAAAATCTAAGCTATATTCATTTTTGGTAATTGAGACCTCCAAAGATTAAGCAATGATCATTAAAATTAAAAGCTTAACATTTTATTAACAGACAACATCATTGTTAGCAAAATCCAAGCAATGTCTAAAACAATCATTTGTAGGGCATATGTCTTTGAGTTAGAGAATTATTGTAGGATGGTTGAATTAGAATAAGCTAAGCAATGTCTTTGCTATTTCCGCCCGTTGATAATTAAAGCCACTAATTAAAACATATATTATTATACTATACTATTCTATTCTATGCTATGCTAATAATAGTTAATTACCTTATTCTTCCTTCAATCAGAATTTGCTTTCAAGTTTTCAAAATATATTCCAGAGAGAGATGGATATATACTCCTTTTACGATTTTTTAATTCAATCTCAAATTCAAAACATTCGAAGGAATATCTTATCAATTATCATCGGTTCGTTGACAAGTTAATGTTGTTGCTCTCCCATCATAATCTCAAAATAATATAAATCTCACGTCAATTATGTAATAAACTTCAACTAAATATATAAATATTTTAGTCATCTCCATTTTCTTTTATTATTTAAGACAGTCATGACATCATTCATAACTAATTCATTCCAAAAATAATTGAGCCTATAGTTTGATTGCTCAAAGCTTAATCTTCAAGTATATAACAAGTCATCAAAACTTATCCTTCTGGTTGGTCAAACAAAAATGTATTAGCCAATTATATTAAAGATTTTGCCAAAGTCAATGTTTTGCCTACAATTATATATGCATAAGCTTTCAATGCTATATTGAACTCATCTCCCAAGACAGCAAGACGCACGTTACTCGTTTTAACCTTATATATATTACAAGTTATAAGATGCTATCACCAAAGATCAATAATCCAAGTTTTCAATTTATATTCTAAAACTAACTATGTAAAACTTTACTTTTGAAAAAAAAAATCAAATACTACATTTAAATGGAGGAAGAAACATAATTATCGTAAGCTAATTTCTTAGATAATGAAGAGTTTAATTATTACAAAATTTTATCCCATTAGCAATTAAAAACGAATTAAATGTGATGAAGATTATCACAAAATGTTTTTTTGGTATAAATGAAATAATAATTTAGAGATAAAAGAATTCAAATATGTTAAAATTTGAATTTGAATTATTTAAAAATAATTACATGAATTGATTGAATTAAAATTAAAATTTAAAATAATATTTTAACGAAATCATTCATATAATATATTATTGGAATTCACTTTTTCTCATCATTATGATTTCCTAAAATCACTTCTTTGGCCTTCACCTCTTTCCCAATATCTTGTATCGGTAATTAGAAGCTTCCTTTTAACGTAATTAATTAATTAATTAATCTACCTCATTATTATTTTATAAATCCATTTACTCATTTTTCCTTCAATCCAAAACCATAAAACCCTTTGGATCTCCCACACCATCACAAAAAAATTAGAAAAAAAAAAAAAACTAAACTATAATATGAGATAATAAATCAAAGAATTTTGTATTGTATATGAAGTGATAAATAAATGTGATAAATTATACAGGTGCACTACACGTCTCTTTGTCCTTGTTATCCGTAAAAGACACGAGCGTAAATTCCAACATGGACGGCGATGCTTTCCTCTCCCAAAAATGATCGGTCAACGACTCCCGCCTCCTCGGCTCGAGCTTGACGAAACACTCCCTGAACTTCCGCTTCCATAGAACAAATCAGACAAGTAATTTCCCAAATCATTAGGGGTATGTCTGACAAGTGACTCAACCCACATTTCTTTCCTCATCTGCACGCCACCATATCTCTCGTAAAAGTCCTTGTAGATCGGGACGATTCGTCTCGCCAACGAGATTTTGACATCATCTCGGAGTCTAGGGTCGGGTATGACCCAAGAAGTTTGTTTCATGTAAGCTTCTTCAAAAGCAAAATTAAATTTTCTGAAATGATCTTTCACTTGATCAACTGGAATCTCAGCCGTTGGATTTTCTGGCAGTGACGCAAGCACTTTGCTCCATCCCATTCTCTCGTAATTCGAAGTGTACTTTTTCACGTTCAGCTCGTGCCTCGTCACCCAATCGTCGCCGAGAAGGAATTTCAGATTCGATTGACGGACTTTTCCGACGACGTATTGGAGATTATTGGCTAAGAACAAATAAGAAAGGGCCACGTCTTTGTACATCGTGGCTTTGCCGTCTAGTTTACAAAGCATGACGAGGATAAGCCAAGCTAACCGGACAGCAATCGTCGATGAAGTGCTCTCCTCCTTGTAGGGGCTGCCGAAGTAAGACTCTGGTAAAGGTGATGGAATCGTTAATGGCCAATCTGCGACGATATCGGAGAGAACCCCGCTGTAATCGGCGAGGAAACAGATGTAATTCATGACATAGCGTGTGAGAGGGTGGAGCCCACCGCCAGGAACCGTCGATTTGGATGAATCCTTTTGAATCGCCGTTTCGAAGTCCGTTAACATGGTTCTAACGGCGTCACCGAGCCTGATTAAGGAGTTAACGGCGGCTGATCGGACGGTTGAGGATGATTCGAAGCTGAAGATTGATTCAATCTCGGGCCAAAGATCGGAAACCGCTTCATATAAATCCAAGATACGGAACATTTTCTCGGGACTTTTCTTGCACTTGGCTACATATTCTGGGAACCCAAACAGAGCCAAAGCTCCTTCTTTCGAAACTTCCGTGAAACAAGATTCCCTTATAGCAGGCGAAATGGAAAACACTTGATCGCAGAGGATTCTCTCTCCGAGAAACAGCGTTTTAACCGCCATTTTAACAGCGTTTAACCAATTCTTCATTTTAACCTCCAAAACTTCCCAATCCATCTTCTGAATCTGCTGAAAAGTCAACGTCCTTTCAACTCCGAGATTGAAAAGAGCTTCATCGACGATCGATTTCCGAATAATTTTATAAACATTGATACATTCCTTGGCGTACCCAGCTGATATCATGGCCTCCGCAATGACTCTTAAATCCGCCATTGCAGCTAACGAGATTCTCTCGACTTCTGGGATTGAGTCATTCTCGTCCCTTGACTCGTTTTCAGAATCGTCTTCTTCGAAGTCTGAAAAGCTAGACCTGGAAACTGATGGTCTAGAAGATGAGTGAGTAGAAACGGATTCTGGGTCAAGATAATCCCGGTTGGACTTCAACATTTGGTAAAACTCCTTCTCGAGCCTTTTCATGGCGGTTTGCATCAGTGTTTGAGCTCGGACAAGCTTTTCCGAACTTGATTGGTGAGAAACCAAGTACTGCATAGCTTTTTGCAAACCCTTAAGGGAACTCAAATATTGTTTCACTTCTTCCCTATTATTGTCAGAGAAAAGAGAAGTGATGTTACAGTAGGAGTTTTGGTCGGATGAGGAGTCCCATTTAGTGATGATAAACTCGGCAGCTTCAATGTTTTCTTCCATTAACGACTCGGAAAAAGTAGCGTGAAGTGGAGAAGCAGATGGAGTCATCCCGGTAGGAGACGGGGATTTGGAGAAGAGGTTCCTCATTCCTTTTCTTGGGATACTATACAAACCAATTCTTCTTCCGAGATCAGTCGTTGGAGCTTTAATAATTAGACAAGGAAATTGGAGCCAAAGAATTATGTGTTTGCCAAGCAGCGACGATGGTGAGAGTATGTGGGTGTTGGGGGGTATATATAGAGAGAGAGTGGGGGGAGAGATGGCTAGGAAAGTGCGAGGATATAGGTGAAAAAGGGCGGTTTCGACTAAGGTGGGGTGCCAACGAAAGGTAAAATTAATAAGACAGCCAAAGAGTCCACGCGGTGGAAAAATCAAACTGTAGTGTTTAGATTGCCTGCTTTTCCTGTACGATGTTTTGCGTTGAGAAATTGGATACCGAGGGAGAGCTGATAATGACCAGTTCGTTTGTCAAAATATTAATTCGAGAATCGTAGAATCAGCCAATAGAATCAGGAAGACTCATAGTATTTGCCTGTTTCAGATAGCCAGCTTGTTGTCACCCTTTCTTGCTCTAGAAGAAGAATTACTTGGAATTTATTATATGATTATTACTACGTCTTAAAGTTGCAATGAAAATCGATGCTATTTGTTTACATATATTCATCTTCAAGAATTACTAGGAATTTATTATATGATTATTATTACTAGATCTTGAAGTTGCAATGAAAATGATGCCATTTGTTTACATATATTTATTCTTTCTTTCTGGGGTAGTAAAGATCTAGAAAATTAATTTACTTTTATTTTTATTTTTATTTTTTGGTGGCGAATGAAACAAAGGTAGAGATTTTGTTTTTACTAATAAAAGAATAATTGATTTTTCCATTTTTCATGGATTTTGAGGATTGTGTGAATAATAATAATAATGTATTGCACCACAGGTTTTTAAAATTTAGCACAATATTGTTCCTTTAGGCCACATCAATCTTTTGGATTTATTGATATATTCCATCGAAATTTTCGAATATGAAAATGGCCAGCTCTGGTTAGGAAGAAAATTACAAAAGAGGGAAACACTCTCTAAGAGTTAAATTTTCAATTAATTTTCCACATAATACATATAATAGCCTTGGAGGGTCCAATTTTAATTTATTGCATATAAATAAATATACATAGTAAGGTGCTTTTAAAATTTTTGGAACTTCCAATAAATTATGCTTTTTCTCCATACCATTTTAAAATTACATTCTCTCACACCGATTTTGATGAATTTAGAAATTTATTCTCAAAATGCTTACTTGAAGATCGAATCTTAACAAAAAATTTCTTTATTATCCTTATAGTGGTAAAACTTTAATTTACACTAAAATAAAACATCTACGGAAATATTAATTAGCATAATTTATAATTAACTAATGGCTGGGTAGTCCATAATAAACCCGCCCCCCCCCCTCCCCCCCACAAAAAAGGAAAAAGACTCATCCAGGGAAGGATTTATATTTGTACAATAAGTTAACCGAAAAAAAAAGGACATTATTTTACTTTAGAATTATAAGTCTCCAATTGCCATATATATATATAGCTCCGGTCCTACCCTGGCAAGAGTAAGGTTATTGTAATTTCATGAGAGTTGACGATGAAGCTAGCAGAAATACAAAGAGGAAGCTGTCATCCAATGTTAATATCTTGGTGCATAAGATTAGTCTTGGACCTGTTCAAGAATTAAACTCGCTTTTCAATCATCTTTCTATTATTTACATATATATAATCTTCACTTCTTCCTTTCTAATTAGTTTTTACAGGTTCATTAAAAACTTAGTGGTTGATAATTTCTTAGATCAACTTTCTCTTCATTTTTTTTAGCATTAATAAGTAATTTTTTAGGTTGTCAGGATTCAAATCTATCGATCACTAAAATTAGAATCCAATATTTTGTCTGCACTAGGTGTTTAAATTAATAGTTATTCTATCAAAAAGTCTAGAAGAAAATTGAAACATAGCTGTATAAGTTTTGGAATTCCACTACCCAAAATTGCATGCATGCATGCATGCATTGTACGCCATTTTATTACAAATGATCTTTGTTCTTTTTTGAATTGAACGACAAAAGTAAAGGTAAAACCACACAAATTGATACACCGTGACGGTTTTCACATGCAATGGTTTCTGTCTCAGGTTTTGCAGTCATTTGTGCAAACATAGACAAAACTAACTTGTATAATAACAGTACAAGGATTTTGAATTTATATCAGCATTGGTGTTTCCTCCAACTCATAATTAATTGGCTAAGGTTTTTCATAATTCGGACAAAGAAAATATTACGAACTCTGCCAATGTTCTTCCAGCCGATGAATTTTATGTTTGGAAAATTCTCTTTGTGTCATTTAGTGGTCGGAATTCAGAAACTGTTTGCTGTACCAATTAACAGTCAGAAGATTGGGTCGTTAGAGGCAACAGTCAACAGGATATAATAATATTGGAAGGAAGGAACATTATTAACCGAGTAAAGTCATTTACTTTTTCTCTCAAAAAAGGGTATTATTCCAGAAGAAATCCAAGATTATCACATGAACACTGGGTGGGACTTCTCCAATTCCTTCCAATTCTATGTTGCGACTTTGAATAGTTTACTTGGAGTTTTGGAAGTGAAAAGGCATCGATAAAAAGGAATTAAAAGGATTGAGCTAGCTAGTGCCAAAAAAAGCAGCCGTCTTTGTCTTATAATAATTGTAGTTTTCTTTTACATCACCAAATACGTCATTGCCAATTGCTGCCGTTGGTAATGACGATGTTCACTCCCACTTTCTCATCTTCTTCTTCATTTTTGAAAGCCATCACAATTAACTTCAAAATATTAGGACGTTAACAATCGTATAATATATGTTAATAAATGCTAAAGTTTAGTTTTATAGACCACACTTCAATTTTTAACCAAAATATAACGTACAAATATATATATATGTACTATTTAGAGTTACCATTCAAGAAATAAAAAAAAAATATTAATATATAATATATTTCAATTAAAATTTATTTTTTTAAACATATTCAATAATAAACCTAATTTAAATAAGCGAATGAGTATAATCAAAATTAAGCTCGAGTTTTGAAATTATCGTATATATGAATATGTTGATTTTCTTCATTGACATCTTTATTAAAAAAAAAATGGAAGACCCAAAACTCCTACTAGGTTTTTTCAAATTCTCTTGAACCGTACATTAATTAACACTAGGTTTTATTACTATACTCGAGTGAAATTGAGCTGCCGGGCATGCAGTCCAAATTATTCTATTTGCAGATTAATTGCATTTAATATAAAATTATTATAATTATAAATAAATATGAACTAACTTTAAAAAATCTCTTAAACAATTGTTAACAAAATTCTTTGATAAACTAATAACAATAATTATAAATTAAGCATATATATCGATTATTTGATTCCCAAGTCAACAAATCTCTGAAAAAATAATTTTGTCCAGAGCACGAAAAGTGGCATTCATAATTGATTGAGTTGATCAGGTGAAAACAAAAGCTGACACCATGATATTATTTTACTCTTTAGCGACATAATTTATTAGATGATGTCCATTTGGTTATGTAGAATGTCCAACGAGACATGAAAAAAGAAACAATTGCTACATAAATAAGCAAACAAAAAAAAAAGTACAAAGCGAAAAAAACAAATACTTAATTTCTTAAATATAGTTTAGTAAAACCTATTTAATCCTTGTATATATAATATGTAAAAAAAAATTTTTAAATTACGATTAAAATTTAAATTCAAAATATTTATTTTTAAAAATGATTTTACTATCATTAAAACTAACGGTTCAATGATTAATATGTAAAAAAGTTTAAACAATGAAAAATATTATGTATTGAAGTTACAGTAGCCAAGTTAAGAGAAAAAAAAATGCTAAAAATTTCTCTTAAAAATTGATGTTCCCCAAAAAAAAAAAAATGATTTACATTTCAACGTTCCAAAAGTATTTCTTCATTATATAAACCATGACGGCTTGATTTCTGACTTGAACCAATAATGTAGCTTGGGGCTATTGGCTCGTTCATTTTTTTATTAAAAGTTTTTAAATTGCCCGCCTCCAACACCCACCCGTGCGGTCAGTTTTCAGTTTTCAAAGAAATGAGGATATGATTGACTATTTCATGATTGGTGTGCGCCCCATTAATCAAAATCAGAAAAACAACGTAATCTCCGTCGTCAAACTAATGTAAAACTGGGATTTGATCGATCAAAGCCTACAACATTGACATTTGACCCTGAGAAAATTCTAACAGAAATATTGAGAAATGTTTAAATAACTCTTGACTGAAGATTGTAAGGATTGTTTATTGAATGATTTCATTCAAAAATTCTTTAAAATCTTTGAGACCTTCTTTACTATATTGCTCTTAACTTTTATCCTTTTTCTTGTTTCGGCTGGCAGGTCTTCTGATATTATATATTGTTCAGAATATTTTAAATGACCAATTAAGCTTCTAGGCGCCGGAGTTTGGTCTTTTTCAACCTAAAAGCGAGGTTGTAATAATAGGACCGAACCCAAGATTTCCTGTTTTTGGTTCAAGATTCAATCGATCCAACCTATTTCAGTTACAAACATTATTATACTTTGAATGCATTGTGTATTATAAATAATGTATGTTAAATATGACATATGTTAAAAAAAATTCATTTGACGTAGTGATTAATGATTTAATAATCTTTTAAAGAATAGGGATTAGAATCCTCTCACTTATCAAATATTTTTAAAGACGAATAAATAATTAATAATTTAAATAATAAAAATAGTCAAGAGATTAAATGAAAAACCAGTCAAAATTTGGTACCAAATGAATGACACTAAATGTTTTCAAGTTTGCCATGCTTTTAATAGTAATTTCGATGAAGTTGCATGCTCTATGTAATTTTAATTTTAAAATACATTTGAATATAATTATATTAATATTCTAATTTTTTTAAAAAAAATTTTGAGTTTCTTGAGTTGATTATTAAAAAAAATTTTTAAAAATCAATCAAGTTTAATATGATCCAATCATGAACACCTCTGTTTTGAAGTTTTTTTTTTTTTTTTCCAATTCTTTTCCTTTATCTCATTCTGCCTATATATTTTAATATATTATATTGGTGTTGCTTAATACTACTACTTTCTTCATTGCTACATACTTAATGCTTGTTTTTCTTAAACTGAGCATGCTAAAATATTCAAAATTTTGGAATTGTTGAGTCAAATGTCAACAGTTTCAACTTTAAATTGCTACTTAGAACTATTCAATGGATGTTTCAGCCTTTGAATGATTCACTTCTTTACCATTTTGGTATCCTATGTTTTAATTTTAAAAAATTATGATGAATTTATTCGGTTTATATAATGTATAAATATATAGCATCTTAGACAGCATTAATTAAGGCAAGCATAGTAACGTAAAATTAAAGGATGTTTGAGCTTTCATTCATAATTGCGATGGAGAAAGCAAGTTTTCGTTGCTGTAATGGTGTTGATGTCAGTTTCCCATGGAATATTAATTATAACATAGTGGGCAGTCCCCCGCCCCCCCCCCCCTTCCCCCACCCCCAACCCTTTTCTTACATTCAGCCAAGGAAACAAACCCAAGGAAAAGTCTTCCCTAGGACCCTATCCTTTTGTTTTATGATAATAGGGCTTCTGAAAACGTACGTAGTTTCTTAAATTTGGAATTTGATTTTCCATTTCTAAAGTATACAAAATATAAATTATTTGGCTCAAACGTGCCTCGAATTAGGGAGACTTTATTAATTATATACCAACATCTCGTAATGAAAATCCAAAATAAGTTGATAATTGTGTGGCATGTTGTCGGTTGGTGAAATATTAAGCTATTAATTTTAATAATTATGATTTTATTTTTTATAATTATTTTTTAAATGGATTTATATTTTATATATTATTAATGTATAAGTTTTATATAATATGAGTGAATTGATTGATGTGCTTTTATTAATGAGTAATATTTTTTTAAAAAATTAAAATTTTATATATTTATTTTAAGTATTGATATTTATTTATTAATAAGATAATATCATATAATTCATTACAGTATACAAAATTTATATATTGATAAAATATCAAATATAAATTCATTTCAAATATATATATATATATTGTGGTGCATATAAAAAAAAAAGATCACAATTCTCATTTATCAAAGAAATTAATTAAAGATATAGAAAATTAAGTAAAACCTGTTCTTGAGTCTCATCAACCATAGTATTTTTTTTCCCTTACTTCACCTAAATTTGTTCATGAAAAACTTCTGGGTAATTGAGAAAGCTATACTGAGATATTTGTTCACACAAAAAGTACTGAAATGTAGGCCATGAGATTACTGTAGATGTTGAAATGTAATTTCCATGCTAAAAATGATTTCACTCTCAAGATCCATACAATTTTAATGGACACCACCAACAAAATTCTGCAGGCCCCAGCCATTTCCTTATGTACGTAAATATCAGACTCACCGCGTGTAGTGGTTGAAAAAGAGGTCCAATTAATGAACAACCTTTCTTGTTTTAGACTTGGAAATGGAGGTTTGAACTGATCATCGTGAAGGTTCTTCAGTGTAGATAGTTGAAATATGTGAGAAACATATACAGTCAATAGATTTCTAGCTTTTGCTGCAGCTGCAGCTTTGATAGCTATCTATATGTTTTCAACTGTTCAGATTATTGAAACTGACCTGCTATTCCTATGGCCACTAATTGGCTGGCTTCTTGTTGTATTAGTGTCAAAATTCCTGGCTCCCGCTAATGTGAACTTACATTAATTCTTCCAAGGTGTTCTCTTTATTGACTAAAGATTTCATGGATGTGATTTCCTTCATAAATATTATTGGATGGCTTTATGTTAATGATTAAGTGTATGTTTGGATTCAACCATCATCAATCAAATTCAAATATTAATTCTAGTGAATTCTATTTAATATAAATATTTCATTAAATTTTTTTAATTACAATTAAAATAATATTTTTTTAAATCACAATTATAATAATTTTTATTATTGATTTTAATCTTATCAAAATTAATTTCATCAACCATTCCAATGTATCTTAAATCAATGATACTTTTGTCTAAACTTTTTGCGACGCAACACTCAAAGTAGATCGAAAGCATGTACCTGAGCCTCTAATTTCCACAAGTAGTCAGAACACAAGATGCACCTAACGAATGCCCCCAACAAAATGAAGAAAGAGTGATCGTCATTTTCTTCGACATTTTGAGTGAAAGATATGAAAAATGAAAAAAAAAAAAACAAAGTTGTTACGGATGCAATGACTCTTCAATCAGTTTCAGTTTGAACAAGAGAAAAGAAACATATACAATGTCAAGGAATAAATTAATATGGTCGGTCGAGTCTCTTTGGGCCATTTATTTGTCAAAACCGAGTTGAAATTCTGTCGGACTAATGGCATATGTATCTCTACAGTACATTGCCTTGAGCTTAAAATTAAATTAACTTGATTGACATGACATGTCAAATGTGTTACCGTTTCTAGATACATATTTCCACTCGGAGTTTATTAATAGTTGCACCCACAATAACATTAGCAACAATCTATCAACAAATATTTCAAAACCGAGTTGAACAGTCTTCACCAAGCGTTAGAACTAAAAGTAAACATCTGAATGACGTTATGAATCATTACACGGTGCTGCAATATGCCTTCCTTTCATCAATTTATTTGCAGTTGTTTCCAACTCTAGTTTACATTGAAATTAAAGGTGCATAAGATTTCTACGAAAGTAGTGATTGTTTCCTACAATCTAAACCTTCTGCCAATATACACATACCTAGCAATTCCAAATCAATTTGTAACCTAAAAATGCATCTCATTTCTTTATTGGTTCATGCAAATTTCAAATTCTTTTTATCATTTTGTTGCGGAAGCACCCAAGATTCTTCTTACCCCTTTCACAAGAATAGCAATTTAAAACCAAAATCACTATTGTCTCAAAATTAAGACAATCCCAAAGATGGGATACCAAATTAAGCGGCCAAATTAATTTGTGATCGAAAGTGAACGATGATGAACTATCATTACACTTCTAGTTGTGAGAGAATGGCCCACGCGGACAAACACAACCAAATCTTGAAACTTGAAAGACATAACGCCCTCTTTCTTTGCTTCCTCTTTTGAAAATTTTGTAGCCATATACATGGACTTCAAACGAAAAGTATATGGGAGCAGCCTATTTTTAAAAGTCACGAAGCATATCGAGCATTGGATGTGGGCATTATTAATACATTTACAAATTGCATGTCAACGTTCACTTTATCAAACTCCCATGTATTTATAATTACATGTTTTTTCACATGTTTGATTCGAAAAAAAATTTGGGATACTTTCTCTCTATATATAATTGTATTCGATAGATTTTAGATTAAAAAATTTTCATCTCATCGATCCATGCTTGGTATATATATTATTAACCAATTTTGATCTTATACAAAGAACCAAATCAGTTGAAAACAAAAAAAATAGAATTTACAGTTGATGCCAAGTTATTGACTGGTTGAACTAAGAGAACTAGCTATAGGTTGATTGAAGTCCACCCCAGAGTTTGAAAGCTACATTACGTTAGGGGGACCAAACCCATGCATTAAATGTAACTCGTTTCTAAGTCAAAGTGCAATGAAATATTCACATGGAACGAGTTACGTAGTTTCAAAATTTTTTTCCTGAATTTTTTCGCTTACACTCTATTAACAAGTACATTTAAAAAAAAAATTTAAGTTTAGATCTTGAGAATAAAGATTAAAGTTTGCAAAACATGTGACGTTTTTCCCTTCATTGATTAAAAATACTAAAATCTCGATGAAGCTGGTTTTACCTTTTATAAATTAACATGAAGCGTAAGGGAAGCATTCATGTTTCCCATTTTAGAATTAGATAAATATTAAAAAAAATGTTATTGTAACTTTGATAGAAGGCATTAGGCTTTGAACAGCAACCAAAAAGGACCGCATAGCGCAGCGGATTAGCGCGTTTGACTTCGGATCAAAAGGTCGTGGGTTCGATTCCCACTGTGGTCGGCTAATTTTGGGCCGAGCTTAACCTTTGGGCTCATTAGGCATCTCGTCTCCTTTCTCGTTTGCAGTGCGATTTTGTCAAAGAATTGGACCCAATCCAGTGAGACCCCAATGGCAGGAAGCACTGACGCGGGCAACAGATAGATTAGCTTATTCTCATATTTTTTGACATCACCAATATATTACGTTTGATTCATAATGATAGAAATCAAACTAGATTGTTAATCATAATGAATAGTTAGCACATATGAAAATTGTGGAGGTTCATCCATCCAACCTTGTCCACCTTAATTTTATGGTGAGAAAGTTGAGGGTAAAAAGGAATAAATATGAAGAAAATAAAATTCAACAACACAAAATTTAAAAAATATCCTTGAGTAGGCACTTCAGATCCAACACAAGGTACCCTTCCCAAGTTAAATGCCAAGCTTAACCCTTAATGGCATACTTCCTCGTTGGAAAGTACATCTCCCTCTTCTTCTCCCGCTCTATTTTCAAAGATTGCTGCATCAACCAAAACGCAACAGGTCAATTCAGAAGCTACAGAATGAACCATTATGGAGTGTTGTGCCCGAATAATAAAAGAGCAATACTATATTTTCGATCTTGGTTGCTACATTTTAGTATTGCTCTTTTATTATTCGGGCACAACACTCCATGGAAGTAGAGGAAAACATCTTAAAATGCATCTTCACAATTGTGCTCTTATTGCTCAACATGTCCTAAACAAAAACAAAACTATGATAGCAACGTTTAGCAAAGGCATGTTTTACCCAAATTTTATTAGTTTCTTCTTTTTCTCCACGTAAGGAATGCATTAGTTAAGACCCCACACTAGCCAAGTAGAAAAAGCTAGATGGTGCATACAAGGCTTTGAGCCTTTAGAATAACCAAAGTTAGACAAAGTAAGTTCAGCAATGCGCAGATGATGGATAAATGAAACTACTTGGGGTTAAGTTAAGGCTGGAAAACGTAGCAGCAATGTGGGCGGGTCTCAAGTGAAGTAAATTAGATTAACAGCTTTGAAAACATGTCAGAAAATGAAAGCCGTTAAATTTGATTATTTCACTTCCATAAATACACCCTAATTGGTAAATGATCAAAAAGATTTCAAATTGAAAATATCAAAACATCTCAACTATTACAGACTCCCTAAAACAAAAGCATCTAGAAATGTTCAAAACAACACAAAATAAGTAACTTTTAATTCCATACAAATATATATAGTTAAATCACAAAAATGCCAATAAATTCAATTAAAAAAGCTGCCATACAACAACAAAAGTAAAACATAGAGAACATGGGCCCATAGCTAACCTGGTGCTTGGTAAGGCGGCGGCGAATAGCTCTGGTCTTCTTGGGACGAAGATCAAGAGGCAAAAACTTCTTCTTCTTATAGGCTTCCCTCAATGCAGCCTTCTGCTTCTGGGATATCACGGTCAACACTTGTGCAATCGATAGCCTCACCACCTTACTAAAAACCCAAAATCCAAAAACAATACCCAAACTCAAAAAGAGAAAGAAAATGAAAAACCAACGAGGAAAAGAAGAAATGAAGAGGAAACGGAGTTACATCTTGGAGAGCTTGTTGGGGGCACCACCAGTGACCTTAGCTACACGAAGGAGAGAAAGTTCAGCTTTCAAGTCTTTGAGTTGGCTCAACAGCTCTGTCTTTGATTTGTTCCTCAACTCGTGTACCTTGATCCTTACTATAAACGATTAAAAAAAAAAGAAGAGATTAAACAAAAATAAAATTAACAAACTTAAAAGCATATAGAGAAAGGGTTTTCGATTATTATTGTCATTACCCATGGCTGTCTGCCTCTCTTTTTTCCCCCTGAAGAAGGTGTGGACTGCGGTGAGAGCAAAGTTGAAGGCTTTGGAGTTTTCATATCAGTTTCCCTCAAAACACTAATTTGGATTGCTCGTGTGAAGGAAAGTGAAGTTATTGGACTCTCATTTGTCTTGGGCTCCGGCCTTGAAGGACTTCGGGCTTTGAAAAAATTTTTGTCTCAAGGAAGCCCTAATTTCTTTTTGGATTTAAAAGGTCATATTGGTTAATTTAAGCCCATAATAAATTTTTTTTTAAATTCATATTTATCATTATGTGATGGATCTAATTTATCACTCAATGTAATTTTTTCACTCTACTTTTTATTTTGATTTAAAATTAAAATATTGTTATTTTTTCACTTTATATTCTTTTACCAATACCTTTTGATATTTTTTTAATCAAATTACAAAAATACAATAAAAAATTACACTCCTTTTAAAAATAATTGGTGAATTTGATTCATTAATTTAATGGAGTGATAATTTTGGATTTATTCCTAAATCCTAGCTAGGATTCAACTGTTAAAACTTTTTTTTCCAAATATTATTCTCTATTAATATTTGCATTAAAGTATATGTAATAATTTTATTAATAATTGCGTGATTTATTGATATAATATTAGATTTTTAATTTTAATGATTAGAATTTAATATTAAGAACCTCAAATATAATAAAATAAAAAATTGCTAATATTCATATAGTTTATAATGTGGGACCTTTAATTTTAGTAACAAAATACTAAAAAAGGTAAAATTATTTTAGTTTAAACAATTTAAACTTTGAATCGAACAAATTTTAAATTCAAATGAAAATAGCATGCTGCTTGCTTCGTTCAACCAAATCAAACTTGTTAACTTTGATAGCAAATGCATTATTACTTTGTTTATTCTTCATTCTAATTGGTTATAAGCCTTCAAAAGTTTTTTTTTTTTTTTTTTGTTTGTTTGTTTTGTTTTGCTAAGCAGGGCCTTCAAAAGTTATAGTGACAGTATCCTGCTGATTCTTCTTTGTACCATAAAGACAAATGAAAGTTCCTTCAAATTTGCCTTGTAACAAAAACAAACGAAACGTCAGCTTTGTGCTTGTCTTGCTGCCACGGATTGAACAGTTTTTAGCTTGAGATGGTAACTTGGTGACACCTGGGTCACCCTACTCTGACCTTCAGGAATGCAGAACGATCAACCTGATATACAAATCTACCTTTTCAATTCTGCTTCCGCCATTAAAAAAAAGAAAAAAAAAAAGAAAAAGAGAAAGGACTCAGCCATATAAGGACCTTAAGATTTTTATAATATATGGGTCTCCAAGATGACATGTTTCACATGCATTTCCAACCATGATGGTGATTGATGCAACCAATTCCTTGCTCTAAATAGGGAGGAATTGTTGAAATTTGAAACATATATATTTAACATGTTATTGGGCAAAGAGTAAATGAGCCCACTTGTTTGGTTCAATTTGCTACCAATTATGTGACTGGCCTTCAATTTGATGGTGCAAATACTTTATATATAGTACTAATATATATATATATATATATATTTTTAAAGAGTTGATCTACTTTCCAACGTAAATACTGGTTGATCATATAATTAAACTATAAACAGGCAAATGCGTGTGGGATTGGAGATTCTTTTCAGTATTTGATTATTACAAGGGCTGACTAAGAGTGAAAAAGAAGATATAAATATGACTGAATTCTTTTACAGGACTATGAGTTCGAGGCAACTGCTTGGAAACATGTAGCCAGGATCTCTTCTTTTATTCCTTTAAATATGGTTTGAAAAAGAAAAGAAAAAACTTAAAAATTGAGTAAAGAAAGAAAAAGAAAGCTGAGAAAAAAAAGGAGAAAACGCATGATTATTAAAAAATGGTTTGAATTAGGGAGACCCACAGAATTGCCATGGATAAGGGTTTAAAGGAGATTGCTGCTGATTTCAAAAGAAATTAATAGAGAGAGAGGAATCATGACTAACTTAAAAGGTAGCATTAAATGGATATACAGTTATATTCATCAATGTAGTTCATCATATTTTTTATGCAATTTTCATCTTGAGTGTTAGGGAAGTTTGGGTTCATTACTATTTCAGCTAAACAAGATTCCAAGTTGATTGGATTATACAAGAGATGGCTTGCAAAAGAAACATTATTAAAACCCCAAAATGATATGGTAATAATGCAAATTAAGTTGATGTTTGTGAGGAATTTTTCATTTTTCTTTTATACCTTTGTCTAGATGAGTCCCTAGCTACGAAAAACTTTTGATAATCAAAGAGCTGTAATTTTTGGGGTAGATTTTCCATTAAAAAAAAAAAAACCTTTTCCATAAGAAAATCAATGGCAGTAAAAAGTATATAGTGTTTAGTTAGTTATTACATGTTTCCTAAATGCAGAGGCAGCAGAGTGGGAGAGGTCAAGTTGATAAAAAGTGGTTGACTCTAATGCTAATCAGGTTGTAATTGATGACAGTACTTGGGCAACATCTTCAAAATCCACTCATTGTCTTGCAAAAGGGACACTTCGACCCACGAGGCTGCAGCCTTCTGATGGAAAACACCTCAGCCAATTTCCTAGGCATAATCATAATTACAACAATCAAGTTTAATTAACACTGTGGATTGACACTGCATCATAGTACTTGTGAGCTGGTCATAACAGTAGTACTATAGCAACATACAAATGCAAGAATATGTAAGCTTAAATTAATTCATCTGGATCCAATGTCAAATATGAGTATGACATGTTTTTGACAATTCATTTTTCTAAAAGAGGCGAGGGTTTCAAAACTGCTTAGAACTGATCAGATTTCCAGCAGCTGTCCGGATTCTTATGTATAAGAAAATGAACATTCAGTTGTTTTTATTACAGGTTACGTAAGAACTGCATGTGCTCCCACTCTGGTTTTTATGCAAGAAAATTTGTCCTAATGCATGAAGATCTTCATAAATTACTTTTTTTTTTAACCGTTGCTTTGTCTTGTCTTAACTGTAATCCCTGAATTCAGGCCCTAGCTAGATTGAATTGTTCCACAAGAAAACATCTTCTTGAACTCTGGTTACCTAGAATATTTTCTATTGTTTTATATTTCATGGACAAAAAGTTTAACGAAAGTTCCTGGAAGAGATTTGATGAATACTTTAACTGATCATGATATGCTTTTCACAAAGACAAAGTTATAGGTCACAGCGCAGGACAATGAAAATGAGAACAAATGAAGTGGGCATAAGGGAGCTAATTAACTATGTGTATGGAATAAAACTTGGATTAGATTATGGAATTAAACTTGGATTAATTTATATACTATGATGCAGCCGCTGCTCTGCCGGTACCGATCCCATCTTAATTATACAATATTCAAGTATAGCTATCATATAAACGACGAATTATACGAATTAAACAAAGTTGCTTATATTTGATTCAGGGTCCCTTAGTTGAAGAAGGGCAAAAGAAATCGAGCTTGGAAAGATGTTCTTAGGCAAAGGAAGGGCAAAATCGAGCTTGGAATTAAAATGGATTAGATTATGGAATTAAGCTTATGATTTTATGTAAACCAATTTGATATGATCAATCTTTGTTTTAACCTCAAAATTATGATTTTTCCCATAATTATGCAGGAAAGCCATTTACTAGTTTGCTAGTTCATGACTGGGGAAGCATGAACACTACAGATTTCAGAGATGGATATAGGCAAACGTAGGCAGCTATGATCAATGCTCAATTAACCAAATAATGTTTTAATCATAAGAGCATCTAGCTTTGTTTCTAAATCTAGATCCTCACATGATCCTAGTAGTAGCAGTAATCATATCATACAAAGTTGAACCCAATTTTTTAACCCCACGAGCAAAATTTTCTAACTAAAATAATATAAAGTTAATCGCAACTTTGAAGGTCCAGAATTTAATCTCATATATTTTCCAGGGTATGATTAAACAACACTTCAAGTGGGGCCTAGCTGCTGCTTTTTCCTCTTTCTCTCTCTCTCTCTCCCTCATCTACCTACTTTAAATGCAGATTGGTTGGCCTTGATGGGGAGATCCTTTTTTCTATTTCAGTTTTTCTACCCCAAAACTGTAACATATATTCAACTTAACCAAAACTTGTCTCAAAGTTACTCCCTCTCTTCTCCAAACATGAAAAAAATGGATCTTTTCTGTGCTTCTCCAGCTTCCACAGCCATCTGCTCTAGCGTGGACCATCGTTCCATGGTCCGCCGTGGACATAGGCCGATTGATCGCCAAAATTCTAAGCCTTATGCACCTTGTTCATCCCAGTTGCCTATAATTCCTAGGCCTTACCATGAAAAGAGTAGAAAGAGCTCTGTTAAGCCAAGTGATGTACGTCGAAAAAGCTCTGCTGATATTCATGATCTATATAGTCCTCCTGGTTCCTCTAGATATCTTCTAAGTGATAGACCCTTTATTGATGGGTTATCAGAGTCTGATCGTGTCTCAGCATTGGTTCCTTCTCAGCCTGCAAAGCCTAAGCATGTAAGCTCCAACGATTCTCCTGCTTTAAAGTCTTCTTCATCTGCTCGGTCTCATGACCAGGTTTGTCTTAATCTCTCTTCTTTTCTTTTGTCATAAGAAACAGCTATGAAGTTAAGGTTCGCAGACCCTGGTTTCTGTTTTTGTTCCAAGAAGTAAAGAAAAGGCAGAAGGACTTCAAACTTGAGGAAGCTAAATCACTATTTTACATTTTTAACATAGTATTCCATTTCTTGTTGTGTTTGAAATAACAGGTGGTGGTTTTGAGGGTGTCAATCCATTGCAAAGGATGTGAAGGAAAAGTAAGAAAACATATCTCGAAAATGGAAGGTGAGAATTTGAACGGATAGCAAAGCTTGCTTATAAGTAAATTGTCAAATATTACCTTGGAATCCTTTTGCAGGCCAAAATGGCTACATTTTATTAGTTATTTATGAATAAAACCACAAGTAGTTTAGTGGTTTTGGATTTGATCATAAAGAAAATGCACTACCATATTTTAAGCATGGTTTTTCGCATATTTTGTGCAGGAGTGACATCATTCAGTATAGATTTGGCCACGAAGAAAGTGACAGTAATTGGGGATGTAACTCCCTCAAGCGTGCTAGCAAGCTTGTCCAAGGTGAAGAGTGCTCAGCTCTGGCCATCGACAGCAGCACCTCCATCTTCCTCAATGGTGAAAATGAATTACTGATTGAGAAAAACACTAGGGTTTTCTTTCTTTCTTTTACGACATATCAGCAGTTTGAGTGTTTTTCCCTGTCTAGATGCATGCTTAGATACTAATCAACATTTGAAATGTAATGTAAATTAATCAAATGTAAGCTTTTTTTGGGGATTGTTGTCATAACCCTTTGTTTTTGTAGAGGCAAAGCTAAAGAGGAAGTTTGATGCCCTTGCGCTTTCTGATCAGGCTGATCATTTCTTGGAGCAGGCAAATGGAATCATTACAAAATATTCCTTTACCCTTTCTCTCAATTTAAAAATCCTTGTCTTAGGCTGGCACCTCTCGGAATCTCTAATTTCTTGTTTCTCTCCCAGACGATAACCCCAGCTGTTAGTGGGGGCTAATCTGCTGTAGCATTTGCGTGCAACACTAGTACTTACCATGTGAACATTTTTCAAAATTTGATCTCCATGTTCAATGGTTGCCATAATAAAGTGTTATAAATGGGGAAATTAGGCAAAACCCCTAGAAAAACTTGCATTAGACTCTGATCAAACTACATAATTGGTCCCCAGGCATGAACTCTCGCCGTCTCGCGTCATTTGATGCACTAATGACAAGTGCAGTAAGGGGAGCATGATAAACAATTTAGGGAGATCAAGCAGTGGAATTGTCGGCAGTCAGTGACAGAACAGAATTTTTAGCCTGGGACAAAACTATAGTGCACTTTTTCTTCTGTCTTCTGGACGAGCCAATAATCTAGCGGGCGGTTGTATGTTGTTCGAATGGTCAAAATATCGGAATGTAACAAAACATTAAAACTACTTAAACATCCACAGTTCCACACCACCTTTGCTTTTAGAGATCAAATTTGTGATTTTATTAGCGTCTCCCTGTTGTTGGTCAAACCACTAAAGGTTCATTTGTCTTAATCTTACATTCATGGAAAACCCTGAATTGGGAAACTACCAATGACAGCTTCAAATTTGACCTTCAACTTCAAGCTGAGCAACCAAAGACCAGCCATATTTGGCCATATATTTCCCTTGGAAGTTTTTTGGGACCAACCTAAAACCATCCATAGGAAGAAAAGTATAGAATAGAAAGCTTAAAGCACATGGTAAAATACTAAAACTGTAAAACCTTCTTTGTTTTGATTTCGTTCCAACTATAGAACATCAAACAAAAAACCAAGCCAAGTCTAGACCTGCCTTCAATTAATCCTTGGTGGCATATCATTTTCTTAGTGTGGGCAAAACTTGTACGTGCCTTCCCTACAATAAACCAAATGATGATCCCCAAGGCACACTTTTCTTTTTGGTTGCATGTCCATGTCAATTTGTTTTCCAAAGAGTGGGGCTTACTCTGTCTTGCCCTTTTTTTTCTTCTTCTTGTTCTAATTTTGCTTTTAAAACTTTATGGTCTCCTAACCAATTCATTATTACTCAAGGGACAAAAGGGAATTAAGAAATTTCTATAGGTGTGGTGGAAGTGAGAAAATTTCCAAATTTCTCACCACATTGATGATTTGAATGTTTGTGTTTTTTCTACTACCCTTTTTCTTTTCTTTGGCCATAAATGTTTTGATAACTTTTTTTTTTGACTAATTTTTTTGGACGGCAAGATATAGAAAATACTAGAAAAGGTTAAAAAGGGTCCACTATCTAAGGATTATTTTAAGATTTCCCTTTGATAATAGGGTCGGCGCACTACCTAAGGTTATTGGCAATGAGAGAAATTTTCTTTTCATTCCAAGGAAAAACATTGGATCTTGGACATGAAATTATGTTTGCGTAAGAGAAGAAAATTTTTTTTTTCCTAAGGCAAGATTAAGTCATGAATTTATGGTAATAATTTAAGCTAGGCAAAAAGTCAAAGGCTTGTAGTAGCAACCAAAGGGGAATTTGATTATTTTTATGTAATGATCACATAGATGATGAACATATAAACTTTTGGAAAGGCAATTTTTAACAAGTTTAGAGATTAAATTTTAGTATTTATAATTTTTTTCTCAAATTATGATTTTTTATATATAAAAAAATTGCTTGTCCTTGAAAATGTAGCAATGGCAATGACTTATACCCATTGCTTTTTTATCTTATAATTCTTTCATAATTAATTAAATAATAAGAAGGTAGAAGGGGAGAAGCAACTTGAGTTCCAAATAATTTCCAATATGCAACCCAATATATGGTAGAAAAAAGATGAAGATGATAGGGCAAAGAGAAAGAGGGACCAAAGACTAGTAAATGTCAAAATCAAATCCTCATACTATCCAAAATATCTTTGTTTGGTTTCTCTACTTTTTTGAGACATGATGCTATAATTTATCAATTATTGGGTTAAAAGTTTTAGTTAATTTTCCTAAGATTAGATCATATTTGTACAAATTTTATAACAGCACGACAATTAAAGTGGTTAGGACTTAGCTAGCTCACTGTAAAAGGACATGTCATTAAAGGACAATCAACCATTCCATGCCATTAAATTTTCAATTTGCAGGCTAAATTTGGGATTTTGAGAATGAATCATTAAAATTGCTAAAAGAATTAATTTATAAAATTAAAATAGAAGGTTAATCTTATTGCATTATATTTGTTTAGCATTTAAATTTGTTAAATAAGATTTTTTTATATTTAAAATTTTTAAAAATTAAATTTTAATTACTAAAATTAAAAATTTAATATTTTACAAACAAATTATAACACTGTTAAATTTATTTCGGTTTAATACATTTTATTTCCAATAGAGGCAAAACTATGTGTTGCTTCTTTAACAAAGGAATGGCACCATATTCCAACATTTTTCTTTTCTTTAGTATTTGTCCCATGGTGTAGATCCAAATTGATGGCAAGGCTCTAGTCCTTGGATGCATTCATTGCTTTTATCTTTTGACCCCATAACCAAGATTTTCATGCTCCCCCCTGTACCCTAAAGAAAGATTTCATGCTTCCTGTCTTGACCTTTCTTTTCTTTCGAGTAACCCATTCGGACCCAAAGTGGACTATGGCTTGAATTTCAAAAAGTTACTTTCAAATGTGAATTGGTCCATTGGGCCATATGTCAAAGGTTGATGGGCTTTCAAGGTCCACTTTCTTTTTGCAGGCTTAGACGTTTTTAACCCAAAACACAGTTCACCACATTTAAAGATTTAACAACGCCATTTGCCTAAAGTCAAGAACAACAGAAAAAAAAAAAAACTTCAAACACGATTTTGCCTACTCCACCTCTTAACTCTCATTCATCAAAGCTATATATGTAAGCCTATAAATTCATCTTTCTTTCAACTCCAACAAGGAAAGCCATCAATAGTTGCGGCTTCACAAAGCTAAAATGGTCAAAGAGCTACAAATGAAGGGCGCATTTCACCTCCTGCTCTTAGCCATCGCCATGAAATATGTCCATGGAGCCAGGGTCCTCACTTTGCTAAATTATGCCAAGGAATAAGAGCCAGCATAGGAAAAAAAAGAATGCACTTTAATTGAGAATGTAAAGTTACAAACAGATGCCGTAGCATTATTATGGCCATGTTCAAGGAAGTTTACTGGTTTGCTTTATTATGTTATTTTTAAGGAGATAGCCATGAAACAAAATCTTTACTCACTTGAAAGTCTGTATATACCAACCAGATTTTTAAGCAAGATTCCTTTATTTCAATCACAAAGATCCTTCAGTATTCATAAAACTTGCACATATATTTTAGCAAACTAGTCGCCTTTGAACGAAAACACGTTAGTAAGCAAGATAAACAGTGAACTGCAGCAGAGTCTCCAATCCATCTGTTTCATTCTGGTTGGTAGCTGGAAATGTCTTGACAATGGCATAGCCCTTAGCATTCAACAAGTACTTGCCAGTGCCGCCCATGATTACGAGGTGGGACTCGGAAACAGCTGTCCTATGTACACCAAAGACGCTTATGCCTAACCATACAAAATCGATCAACCATCATCCTATATGTAACTGCATTGGGCTCACAACCTTTAATCTGCATTTCAATCAAAACTTTATAGGCCTCTCCAACTCTACCTTCCTTGCAAAGATAATTCACCAATAAATTATAAATCACAACTTCTGGCTTAAACCGCCTTTTCTTCATTTCACTAAGCAATGCTTTTAGCTTCCTCAATCTCCCCTCTCTTTCCCAGATAACTCTTCAAAACACCAAAGTTAATAACCTCTGTTTTACAACCTTTATATTCCACATCAAACATCATCTTTTTAGCTTTCTTATATTCACCTAAAAACCACAGACCCTTCCATCAACAAAGCATAAGTCACAGTATCGGGATACTTCTCTAGTTTCCTTTCTTAACCATAACTTCAACTAAATTTTTAGCTTTTTCCTCGTCACATTTTTTACGCAAAAACCTTATAAAACTATTGTAAGTAACAACACTAGGCTTACGTTTCTTTCTAGCATTTCATCAAACAAATAGCAAACTTCATCAAACTCTGCCCTTTCTAGCAACCCTTTGATCATTACGTTGGATGTTATCGAATTCGGATGAAAACCCATTTCTTTTGACTTACGAAAGATCTATTTTGCATCAAAAACCTAGTAAGAACTTGGGGTTAAAAAACCATAAGAAATTGAGGAAAAACTTCAAGATATCACTTTCCCCCTCACGATTAATTGATATGTAAAAGAGTTATTAACGATATATTTTGAAATTACAATAAAACTCAATGATTAACTTTGTTTTGTATTGACAAAATGAGTATTCACCAATATAAAAACAAAATTATTTAATTTGATTATAAAAAATTTGTGAAGTTTTTTCTGATTTTTGTTTCTTGGAGAAAATATATTTTCTGTCTTGTATCTTCTAAAAATAAAAAAAAGATATATTTACGATCAAATAGATTTTTTTATACAAATATATTTGTTCATAAAACAAAAAATATATATAAACACAATTCTTTATGAAACATAATTCTTATTAAATAATTATGTTATTTAAAAAAATATAATCTTTCACTATCATATTCAATTCATGAGATCTATTATTGTAAAGGTGTTCCAACAAACTTATTCGACAAGAACAACAGGAAACAAATTTAAAGATAGAAACGTGCGAACGCAATTAAAAGAAGGCATTTTATGGAAAAGTTAGATTGCTTTTAGAACAAAGAAACAAAAACGGTTTCTTTGCAATGAATATTAAGTTTTATAAATAGCCAAGAAGGGTTTCAATATCTTCCAAATTTCAAGACTTTGCAAGCTTGTAAATAAGAGAAGAAAATGAAG